CACCCCTTAGGTGTTGTCAATTTCTTCAACAGCGGCCTTAGCTTCATCTCTCAAATCACTTTCTCCCATGTAATTCCTCATTTTTCACTCCACATTTCTATGCAATACTTCAATTAATTACCTGTCTCTATCCTCCGAAACCCATTAATTATTAACCCCTTTCTAAAATTTGCTATACTAATTCCTTTTTAACTCCCACAATACTTCAGCCAAAAACTATTTTAAAAGCTTAACAAAACAACCTATCTAAGATGAAATGATATTAATTGGTACAAATTTTAATTCAATATATTTATTAAAAAATTATTATTTTTTTATCTAAAATTAAAAATAAACAAATTTAATAATATAACTATGTATACAAGATGTAAAAATTAGTTAAATTGATTACATTTATATTGTATTTTAATAATTGAATTGAAACAAATGTCAAAAAGTATGTTAAATCAAATATGTGCCTATCACATTTTAGGATGAAATATTAAGTTTTTTTTGTTAATTAAGCCTTTCATTAATGATAAACTTGACATTTTATGTTCCAACTAACTGTGTTTTTAATTAGTGCGGACTGAAAATTGGGTTTTTTGTTGTTTTAATAAGACAAAAAATCTATTCCTATTTTTTTGGTACATAACCAAAACAACACAAAAAAAAAAAAGAGGCTACGTAGCTAGCATGAGGAAAATGATTAATATATCTTTTAGTTCAATACACTCCATGACATTTACTGATTTAGTTATTTAATTTACAGTTTTTAGTTTTTAGTTTTTAATTTAAATTTAAAAATAATAATTTTTTAATAAATATGTTGTAGGATATATTAAACAGGAGAGTATATTAATTATTGTCTATAACATGATGCTAAGAAGAACGTGAGACACAATGTGAACAAGAATTTATTCATAGGCTGCATGCTATTGTTGTTCCAGACAAACCATCCTTGTCCATCTCAGTGACAGAGAAGAAAACAGGGGCATGGACAAAATCAAGTTGTCTGGACTCGAGAAAATAGTCCTACTCATGTTGTACGGCAAAAAATTCACTCAAATTTTGTAAAGGGTTTGAACATTGCGTGCACATACGCATATTTTGATCACAGCATCTAGACACAGAGATGGGAAGTATGAGTGGAAATCCTAAATTCAACCTCTTCCGTTAATTGAACTCTTGAGGAAATGACTGAACTGCCCTTATAGTTGCGTCCCTCCACTTCAAAATAACTGTTTTTTTTTTTTTTTTTAATTAAGGATTTTGGGACAATTCATATATTTGTCTATATTACTCTTAGGAAAAAGAAAGATAAAATTAGATTTTTTGTGATAAGATAATTAATCAAAACACATGGATAATGATATGGTTAAATTAGAAAAAAATATTTACTTAACTTAAAAATCAAAAAAGGACAATTAATTTAAAATAAACTTAAAGTAAAAAACCTATAGTTATTTTAAAATGAAGGGAGTAATAAGTTAATTTGTAAGCCTAAGAGTTTTGTGACTTTTAAGTCTTGAATTTGACTTTGATATTAGGTTATTGAAGTTGTATCCTACCCCTTTTGATAGTAAAGAGATATTTTTCCTTCTCCTAAATCCCTTTTCACCTATTTTAATATTTAGATTAATTGAAATTTTTGACTTAAAGGTTCAAACTTCTAATGATAGGACAAATAATCATGTGACTTATGTTATAGTAATGCTAACCTTATTAACTTTATTAAATGATTTTTTATAAAGCTATCTCACTAAGTCATGTTCTTTTGTGACAGTGACAATTAACTCGACAACATTATTTGAAAATTTTTTAAATTAATTAAAAAAATCAAATTTAGAAGTTTCACGTCAAAAGTCTACTTCTCAAAAGGAATAGACTTAGAATTTCAGTTTTCATTTTTTTATTTATTTTGAATTGCACAATAAAAGACAACTCTTTAATATCTCTTAATTCAATTTACTTGCATGTAATGTGAGTTAAATTTAGAATATTTTACTTTTACTAAAAAAAGATTATTATTGAATTATTTAAACCATTGAGAATTTTAATTTCTAATTTTAAATAGGCTAGAAACAGCTTTTAAAACTACATAAAAGGTAAAAAAGCAACTTAAAAAAAAAAATTAAAAGACCACTTTAGAAATTTGAATTGGAGTTTTGACTTGATTTATGTGATAGATAAATAACATTTTAGAAGTGAGGATCATTAAACACCAAATGAGAATGGAGGTAGGATTCATGTACATATATATATATATATATATATTTGAAAGGCAATGTAAATACAATTTTTACACACATCATGCTCATAAAATTGTAATCATTCATCTTTCTATCATGAATGGTTGAGATTTATGATGATTTTTTAAATAAAAAAACTTATTTTTAAATTAAAAATAGGATAAAAAAAGAACAAATCTCAAGTATTCATAATAAAGAGATGAATAATAAAAATTTTGTATAAGTAATGTACATAAGAGTTGTGTGTAGGTGAATTGCATGTAACTCATAAGTGAATATATACATGTTCGATTTTTTTTTGTTATCATTTGAATGTGAACAATTTCCATGAATATATCCGCTACCCTTCAAATGTGGAGTTTTGCTTTTGCTTTTTGCTTTTTGTTTTTTGTTTTGTTTTTTTTTTTTTTGGGATAAAAAAATTGAGTTTTGTTTAATACTTTAAATGGTGTGATTTTAATACTTTAAATGGTGTGATTTGTAAATACCTATAAAATTAATCAGGCTAATATCTTGGTTACCATTATTATGGAAAAAAAGAACATTGAAAAGTTAAGGTGATTTTACAAGAAAAAGTTAAAACTAAAATATGGTACAAAGTCACGGTTCGATTTGGTGCCTTTGACTCACCTTTTACGCAGTTTTAAAGGATAGAGGTATCATCCCTCATTCCAAGGAATTAGGCAATAGCATGAAAGAAAGAAAGAAAGGAAAGAAAGGTCTCCTCTCTCCTCTTTCTCTCTCAAAATCTTATAGTGATAAGGTGCGGTTGTGGCTGCATGCTGCTGAGTGCTGAGACAAAGTACTTAACGCAGCAGTGATAGGGGAAACAGAAGCATTAAACAGCAGAGAAGAAAAGAAAAAAGAGAATGCGTATTGTCTGCTGATCAGGCTCAATCCCTTATAAGCTTTTGAAAATACTATATGCACAGATCGATGTTCGACCTCCTCAGTGTTAAGCATTCATTGCATTCTCCATAAAGCAAGCCGGTTTCTCTTCCACAAATGACACACGACAGCCCACCTGTGTGTTTGTCTCAGATTTCTAAGAAATTCATTCCTTACCCCCGTTCAATCTTTTAAGTTGTTGCTGTTTGCTTTACACAGTCATATGATAATTAGTGCTTCAATTTTCTTACCAACGTGACGCTTTTTATGAATATCGGATTTTGTCCTATAGGTTACAAGCCTACAAACATTATAAATTTAAATTTTTTTTGACCTAGGGAAAGTATGATATACTACACCAACAACACAATTGAGACGGATTTTGAGTAAGGTGATAGTTAAAGCGTTGAGTCCCTCCCTTGTTGATTTTAGATCTTCTTTACATATAATCCACCTTAAAAGCTAAAATCAGGTTTTCCCTTCGACAAATTTTAAAATTATAAAAGAGAGAACATATTACTTCTAAGCTAGTTCGGTAAAACATCAAGTTTCAGCCCTTTTTCTAATGTTTAGGAATCTAATTTCAACTCTGGCCAAAAAAAAAAAATCTGATGTCAACTTGCATTCGCAGGACATGTGTTTGAATCTCCTCCCAAAAATTTGAGCATTAAAAAAAAAAAAAAAATCTAATTTCAACTTGTACAAAAGCCAAAAAAGTTCATTCAAGCCTGGGACCCAACAAGATTGCATGCTGTCTTTTATCAAGCTTTTCATGGACAATGAAATTTAGGACAAAGAATCACAGATTTTCTATTCCACTTTCAGAATTAACTTCTAAATTTCTTTGTTATCTTCTTTTTGTTTTAATTGTTCCAAACTCTATTCTGGCGACACAAGCTCATCAACATTCTTAGCAAACCAATCTTTTAAAGAATTTCAATTCACCAATCTTTACACTATGACTCAGTTATGTGCAGGTGAAAAAAGTATTAAGTGGGACTATGTGCGTTTTCTGATATGATTCTTAATTGGTCAGGCTGCTATATAAGTAGATCCCCCTATGCATGTGTTGAGGTTGTATGAGAGTGCAGTGGTTGTGTTTTGTCTAATTGATTGTGATAACATATGACGATTTGATTGTGTAACGGGTTGAATTAATACCTCTTTACTCCTAATTAGTAATAAAAAAAAAAATTACTTGACTAAGAAAAAATATTGTTTTATAGTTTATTTTATATAAACTATAAAACAATTAATCATTAATAAAAGGATAGATCTCTAATATATAAGTCTGCACCTTGTATCCATAATTAAGTCAAATAAATTTACCTTCAGTTTTTTTGAAAAAGGGAAAAAAAAAAGAAGAAAAAAACTATGACTCACTGGCAATACATCTTTATCTTGAAGGGCAGCTAATATATTCTTCTCAGAAATTAAAAATTAAAAAAAAAAGATTTTTACTATATATATTTTGACTTTTCAATGCATTGTCTGTGTCAGTACGGTATGGTGTATCCGACCAAGAGCAACTACAAGCCTGATGCTTGATCGGTCTCATGTATTTTACTCTCCATTTTATGCTGAGAGCATGAACCTGATGTCTTCACCCGTTTACTCAACATCAACATGGGTGAAATGACTAGTCTGTTAAAATTGTTTATAACTAAATTACTATAAAAAAAAAATTTAAACTTACATTTTTAACATAATTTCAATTATCTCTCACACTTGAACCAATCCTAATATTCTTTGTTCTAACCAGCTGCATATTTTTTCACAAGTTTTCTTCCCATTTTAATAATCTCCTACTTTGGGTTTATAAGATTCTGCTGTAAACCTTGCTTTCAATTACCAAATATGCCTGTTATGCCATTTCTTAGTTCCAGGGCAAGGAATTTATTTGGGAGTACTGAAAAGAACAAAACCATTATGTTTTCTAAAAATGTAACAAAAGAACAAAACTGAATAACTCTAAAACTTCATATTCTTTTTTTGAGTCACTTCAACATCAAAATCTCTCAAATCCAATTCCCCATTTCAGATCCCTTTCTTTCAACATCAAACTCTCAAATCTAATCCTGTTTCATTGGGGAACCCCAGATTCTCTCTTTCCCTTTCACATTCTCTACTCAAGATATTTTCAGTTTCTCAAACAAGGCCCTATATTCTGTAACATTCTCTCTAATGTTCGTTTTCTCCATTGGAAAAAGCAACATGGTCCAAATGCATTTTAAGGCAATCCTTGTTTCATGCCATCCACATCCTACCATAGCACCAATTCCATGAAATGTAACATCAAGGATAATAAAAACAGATCCAATTCCCAACAAAACACAAAATCTAATCACTACCCATTGTTTTACAGGCATAGCAAAGTGGAAATTCTCATTACAATAGTAAACTCTAGTTCTTTAATGGAAGGAATTCAAAGAACTGGTAAGGGGTTAAGTTAGCATTCATGGTAGCAACTGATATTTCAGTCTCTTTCTCGGTGGTGTTATAGCTGTCATCTCCACTGCGAAGGGGGAAGAGTTGAAGAGTTTGAGATTCCTCACACCCATCTTCATCATTTCTAAGGCTGCTCAAGTGGTTGAGTAATCCATTGCTGTTCTCTTTGTAGGGTGCCAAAAATATGTTCACAAGGTCATGAGTCTTGATTGATCTTATGGCCGATGGTAATGGCACCATGGCTGTGGCAGTAGTAGTGGTGGTGGGGGAGGTGGTGGTGGTGGTGGTGTTGTTCATGAGGTGGGTGGAGGCAGGACAAGTGAAGTTCATCTTCTGCCATGTGGCATTCCTTTCCCCAACATAGCTCCTTCTGTGTTGTAATTCTGCTTCATCTAACTGGATCCATCCAGCTGGTCTACATTCTGCCACTACTGCCTTTGCTGCCATTGGCACTGAGACAGATTCCTGAGAAATCAAATAGACCATGCAAAATTTGTAATTTTTTCTCAAAAAGACAAAAGAAGAACTACCACAAATTTGGCTGCACCCTAGTCCTTATTTTGTAATGAACTAAAACAAAATGACAATGGTCCACGAGATGCTATTATGGACCGGCTAGGGCTAGCGAAGTCTTTTCACTTTCAGGGTGCTCAAATTCCACAGAATATTTCAAAGGGTGGTGCTCAAATCAATACAAACCCTAATGCCATAAATGCATATCAAGCACAAGACCCAATGAAACCCAGCAAGTTTCATAACAGCACCCCCGACAGAAAGGAGGGAATGCAGCTTTTAAGCCCTTTTCATTTCCCAACAAATCAAGCTTTTGTTAGTTGTTACTTTCTTGTAAATCATCCTCATGTAACTTTGAACCTAAACCCCAAAGTGAAATGGTAATCATGTGCAAATTATGATTTCAGTCTTTAATTGCAAGTTATGCTCCTTTTAGGGGTTAAAGGTGAATTTTCTAGTCTATGGAGAGAAAAGACAAAGGAAATCAGAGAATAGACCTCTGCTAGTGTACTGCAGTTCATAGGGACTGTCCAGTTCTTGCTTTGTTCAACTTCATACCCTGTCCTGTTTGCCCCTGTTGACAAAAGGAAAAACAAAAAGAATACAACTTTACATCTCTCACTAACAACAAATGGAATATTGGGAAGAAAAAGTGAACACAAATCAAACATCACTTCTAACAAATAGAACGGAAAAAGCAACTCAAAAAATGATAAACATCTATCTTTCATGTGAACACGGATAGAGAATCATTTTTTGTGTATTTCTAGTCCCTAGAAAAGGAATGTTATCTCGGTCATCTAGGTTGGAACTAAAGAATAAAGAAGAAAGAAGAAAGAATTAATTTTTATGTATAATTAGTCTTTATAATTAAAAGAAATGTCATTTTTATTATTCAAGTTGGGATTAGGAAATTAACAAGAAATTTTGGATATAGAGATTTGAGATTATAATAGTAATAAAACTGCTTTTTGTCTTTGCTTTACCTGAATCTTTCCTTTCAAAGATCTCGATGTCCCGGTTATGCTCATCGGTTGCAGTTGATTCCATTTGACGTCGGCGTTTCTGGCGCTCCCTTGCCTTGTGATTCTGAAACCAATAGAACACATTCTTCCCTTCAATCTTACCGTACCTACGCAGCTGTGCAGTAATATGCTGAATTTGATCTGCCGATGGAGTTCGAGTGCCGCGTCTATACAGTTCCTCAAGGGTCCTTAACTGCTCTGGCGTCGGGTTCCACCTTGAGCTAACAACGACTGGTTGTGAGTTGAAATCCCTCTTGTTTTGATCACCCATAGTCGCTGTAATTTAAACGAAACCCATGATGTGTATGCAGTATTCAAGAAATGTAAACAAAAATGAAAGAGGGAACTAAGGCTTACCCAGATGGTGATTTAGTGCAAAAAAGTCGGTGCCATGGACATGGGTTCTTGAAAGGTTGGTTGCAGAAGGCGGGGGTCTTGGAATGAGAGGCCTAAGCTTTCTACCACTGAATGAATCAGGCATGTTGAACTCAGCACCATCATTGTAACCCACCATCCACATTGTTAAGAATTTGAAGTGAAAAATATGGGCTTAGGGGTTGAGAAGTACAAGAAGAAGATGGGCAAAGAAAAGCAGAGAAGCTTATTTAATGAGGGCTGTGTATCTATCTCTCCTTGGTTCCTTTTGTGGGTGATATGATGGGACTGAAGAAATGGGAGTGAAGTTGCAGAAATGGGAAATGAAGCATGCAAGGGAATGGCATAAGAAGTGGGTTTAGAAGATGGAAGTGCCTGCTCACATTAGATATGGTGTAGATATGGGGTTTATATAGCATAGATTTGAAGGAGAGAAGAATAGGAAAAAAAATTGTGTTTGAGGGTGAGATTTTTAAAATGGGAAATGGATGTTGGTTTCAATATATGGAACAAAGGTGAGGTTGACTAATGACAAAGGCAAACAGAGGGAGAGCAAAAGGGAAAAAAAGAAGAGAGGAAGCGTGGAATTCTGGGAGGAGATATTGGGAGTAGGAAATGAAAAACGACGTGACGATGATGAGGGTTATCATAAGCCTCATCACCCTTCATTTATTGTTCTCTTCTTGTATCGTGCCTTTCACACTTATTCTCAATCCAAACTGCCCCTCTTTTTCCTTCTGCTCCCTTGCCCTTTTCTTTGTCCACATTTTCCCCTACTTTTTCATTTCACTACGTAATTAATCTCTCAATTCAAAGAAAATAGTAATATTTTCCAAATTCCCATTCACTTATAATAATGTTAATCTCTTTTGGGTCATTACATATAGTCTGTGCAGATTGGGACAGGGGAAAAAGAGATAATTTAATTGGTTGAAATAAAGTTAATTTTCTCTTCTTCTTTTTTTTATTTCTCTCAAACTAAACAGATTATTAGGGTTTTTTTTTTTTTTTTCACTTCAATTCCTCTCTACTCTCTATTACACTTAAGATTATAGAAAGCAAAGCTACGTCTTATTGCTGTCTTGTGATCAATATATATATAGAAGTATTGACACAGTGTTAACGTAGAAACTTAACTAATATGGAAACTTAATTGATATGGACATAATATATATGATACATTATATAAATGCAGATTGACTAAATCCTAGAATCATGGTGCCATTTACTGCAGATCACGTAGGAGATACACCTTCCTTAACACGCCCCTGCAAGATGGAGGTGCCATCAGCAACACCAATCTTGGAGTGGAGATTGGAAGAACGAGCAGTAGACAGAGCCTTTGTAAGACCATCAGCCAACTGGTCGTGAGAAGAAATGTGAGATACATGAAGAAGTTTTTGATCAACCAGATCTCGAACAAAGTGTAAATCAATGGCTATGTGTTTCATACGAGAGTGGAGAACAGGATTAAGACTCAAATAAGTGGCACCAACATTATCACAAAATAGAACAGGAGAGCCAAGACCAGAAACGCCTAGCTCATGAAGAAGATTTCAAACCCAAACCAGTTTAGAAGTAGCAGCAACTAAGGCATGATATTCAATCTCGGTGGAGCTCCGAGCGACAGCCTTCTGCTTGGTGGCATGCCAAGAAATGGGATTGAAGCCAAGGAATATCAAATAACCAGTGGTATTGACACAAGTAGATGGATCGCCAACCTAGTCGGCATCGGAGTAGGCATGTAGAGATAAAGCACGCTGAGGGCGTAATAATAAGCCATGAAAACTTGTTCCACGTAGGTATCGAAGAACACGTTTTGCAGCCTGCCAATGAGCATCCGTGGGCTTATGTATAATCTGAGAGAGCTTGTTGACTACAAAACAGAAGTCTAGATGAGTGAGGGCAAGATATTGCAAGGAGCCAAGAAGTCGTCGATAAGCAGAGCCATCAGAAAGAGGCGAACCAAAATTGGGATGCAGGGAAGAGAAACAGCAAGAGGGGTAGTCACGGGTTTTGCCTCATGCATATTGTATTGGTGGAGAAGATTAATAATATACTGATGCTGAGATAAGAGAAGACCAGCAGTTGTGGGAATGGCCTCAACTCTAAGGAAAAAACTAGGAGGCCCAAAATCTTTCAAGGAGAAACTAGCACCCATGACCTGAATAATAGACTGAACTGCACAAGGATCATTGCCTGTAATTATAATACCATCAACATATACGAGGAAATAAATCCAAGTAGATCCATGGTGATATATAAAAAGAGAAGCATCAGATTGAGATTGAGAAAAGCCCTGAGACAGAACAAAGTTCTTAAGCTCAATGAACCACGCTCAGGGAGCTTGTTTTAAGCCATGGATAGACTTGCGTAATTGGCACACATAATCAGGGAAGCGAGGATCAACAAAACTTGCTGGTTGCTGCATGACCAATTGTTCCTCAAGATGACCATGTAAGAAGGCATTATTAGTAGAGAGAATGAGAGGTAAAGAGAGAGGGAGAGTGGACAGATTCAGAGCATGCAAAGGGCGGACAGCACGAAACTGGGAGCTATCTAAAAACCAGAGAGGGAATCGACATGAGCAAGGTAATGGGTACTCAGGCAGAAGATCAGGAAAGAGCCAAGAGGTGTGGGGGTATGACAAAAGGGTGTATAACCAGGCTACTGTGTTCTTCTTTACAAACTTTCCAGATGAATGGAGTTACGAAAGCATGTGGCAGACCTTTCGCAAACACGGCAGAGTCTTGGATATCTATAGCCCATTGAGGAAATCCAAATCAGGGACTAGATTTGGGTTTGTAAGATTCTTAGATGTGAAGAATGTGGGGGTTCTAGAATGCCAACTAGACCAAATTAGAGTAGGGATGACCAAGCTGTGAGTTAATAGACCAAGATTCAGAGAAGCAAAGGAAAGGAATAGAGAAGATAGAAAGCCAGTTGAGAACGCTCATGTCAGACCATGGAGATTGTATGCAGAAGTTGTAAAAGGAAAGTATAGGGTGGAGGAAAATTTACTGAGACAGACACAGCTGGCAATAGATGTAGGAAGTGATCAACATAAGCAGTGAGATAGAGACATGCCAAAAAGGCCAACACAAGTATGGAAAATGAGGAATAATGAATGAGTCAATGCTGGCCTAGAGTTTAAGGTGAAGGAGGAAAAACTTACATGGCTCGAAGGCTGTTATGTCAGAACCACTTATTCAGTGGAGATCATTCCAACACTACAGGACAAATTTTTCATGGAAGGATATTTCTCATGCAAGGTAAGACCAATGGAGGGAAGACTAGTTTTACTTGAAAGGGGTGATGAGGAGGAGATGAAAGATTTGGTGGAATTAGCACCGGAATGGTTGGGGCAATGGTTTGAGGATATAAAACCATGGAACCCAACAATAGTTGCAAGAGAAAGGTTTGTATGGCTAAGATGCCAAGGCGTCCCAGCCCATGCTTGGGGACCTGAATCCTTTGCCACAATCGGGAATGTGTGGGGGAAATTTATATCCACAAATGATAGCACTAGCAAAAAGAAAAGATTTGATATTGGGAAAATTCTGATATCCACCCTTGTTATGGAGTTCATTTCAAAATCAATGAACATAAGAGTGAATGACGTGCCATTTTTTATCAAAGTAATGGAGGAAAAGGCAACTAATGGCATCTTCTCCATGACATCTGACCATGCATTCAAAGAGTCAACTGATGCAAAAGCTAGCAATTCAAAAATGTGGTCCTTGTACAGTGATATCGATGGCGCCATTGACGAGTCTGTTCAAGGTGGTGGTTGCTCCAGGCATTCCTTCAAATGTGCAGATGGGAAGGTGGAAGATGATGACAAGGAAAGAAAAGCCAACGTGGAGAGCAAGAATGAAATGGTAGATGACGTGGAATCTGAGAATGGGCGAGAGCGAGAAAAAAGTCAACTTGGTAGCCAAGGGAAGAAGGCAACGGCTAGACAAAAGATTTTTGAATTTGAAAATGTGGAAAACAGCTTGATAAGTGTTGAAGAATCCATCAAACAATCAGATAATGAATGTATTGCTGTAGGCATCGGGAATACTCAAGGACTTCTTATCAACACCCAAGGGGAGACGGCGGAGGAGGTAGGTTATGTGTCCGATAACCAATGTGAGCATTTAATGCAGTGCCAGGGACATGATTTAAAAAGAGGGAAGGGAGAATTAATCGGGCCAACCAATCCAAGCCCAAGCAAAAAGCAAAGGGGCGAAAGGGGTCTTGGGCTAGACCATCAAGCATGTCTAGAGGATGGAGAAATTTAGGCCACAAAATTGGGATCGAGAGCAGCAAAAAAGAAGAAAGTCGGTAAAGTTAAAAGTGCTAGAGTGGAGAGAGAAAAGACAGATGATATGTGTGACAAGGAAGGGGAGAAACAAAGAGGTGATGGAAGCTTCGTTGGAGTGGAAATTCACAGTGAGGAACAAGCCTTTTGGCAAGGGTTCCAAAGCGAATCTGGGCAAGTGAAAGCTTAGATTGGTAGAACATAGAGGAAGTCTAAAAAGCAGAGGAGAAAGAGGATCAGATCATGCTCTTATGTGTATTAGAAATCCAGGAGAGAGGAATGCCCAGGGATAGAGACGAAACAGAGCAAATCAAAAAAAGCCCAAGAAATAGAGGATAGGATGCCGAAGTTCAGTCTAGATCCCCAAAACCAGGCAGCGGAGGATTCAATCACAGATAGCGGCATTGAAAATAGAAATAGATGCTTGGGATCTGAGGCAAAAAGTGGCACTGGAGAACAGATCTCGGGGTTTGCAAAGATAATTAGAGTTGTGGATCGAGGTAATGAGGATGACGTCCTGCGAAGACTTGAAGCCATGGAGGAGCGGGACAAGGAGACGTATCGAAGATCAGTGATTAGAGAGGCTGAAAATGGGAGAAATAGGAGTGTAGATTTATAATGATTTTCTGTCTACCAACATCAGAGGAGTAGGAAAGGAAGGTAAGAAAAGAGGGGTGAGGGAACTAGTTGCTCGGGAGAAGGTAAAGTTCTTAATAGTACAAGAATCCAAGGTAAAGGGCGTTGATACTCAACTTTGCAGAGCTCTATGGGGATCAGATAACTTTGAATGGGTTGCTCAACCCTCAAAAGGTATGGCTGGAGGATTGATTTGTATTTGGAATCCTGATTTATTGAAGAAGGATAGAATTATAGAAGGGGATAACTTCATTGGGATTTTTGGGTTTTGGGGGGTGTCTAACATTCCCGTGTATATTATAAATATTTATTCCCTGTGTGATTTGG